AAATCTTATAATGAAATGCTGATTGTTTGGTGATTGGTTTATTTAAACGTTAATATATTTATCACATGCATGATGCTCTTTTCTAAAGATATCCTAAAAAAAATCGAAATCTTGTTTAACAATAAATCCAATATTATTTTTGAAAATTTAGGATTAATAGTTGAGAACGGTACAACGAATCGTCTTCTTTCTGTAATAATTTAATGAAACGTCAGAGCTTCCGCGCTTCGCGCGGGAAGGGGATAAACTCCCCCCTCCTTGCACCCACCCCCTAGGAAGCGTGTGGAGCGCGCTCTTTTAGTGATTCGCACCAGGGGCGTAAATCCCGGGGGGATGGAGGGATGCATCCCCCCGCTCTTGAAGGAGGGGGGATGGCCTGTACAAATATCCCCCTCCTAAAATTAAAAAAAAGAAAAAAAAAGAAAGAAGAAGAAGAAAAAAGAAAGAAATGTGATTGTTTCAATTTCAGCATAATGCATGAGAAATGAGTTTTTTTAAATGTATGTATAACTGTATAGCCTACAGTACAATTCAGTGTTAATCATGGCTATTGCATGGTATGCAAGATAGACTTTCAAGTGGGGGCACGGAGGAAGGAGTGACTGCCAGAGGCATATATATAGTCTCTCAAAAGTACAAGTGCTATGCGGGTGCAGTGGAATCTACACCCAATATATCAAGCTTCTTTGCAGCAGATAGAGAATTGTCTGTCTTGACGCAGAAGTGAGATTTACGGATTATTTAATTGAACACAATGTGCCTTTGAGGGCGGCAGACCATGCAAATGAACTCTTCAAGAAAATGTTTCCAGACTCATAAATAGCCAAAAAGTATGGTTGCAAACATACAAAAACACGTGAAATTGTGAGAAATTGCAATTCTTGTGTTTTAATACATGTATTATTACTATTGTAACCTAACTGTGTACGCTCTCTAAAAAGTAATGAAAAGTGTTTTGAATCCTAACTTGTAGGGTTGAGTCTAGGGTTGAGATCGTGTCATCAGACATGAGAATATGGCCCACAGTATGCCTCAGATTGCAGGAAAATGGCTTAAATATTTCAACATTTTCTGGCGGGGGGCATGCCCCCAGACCCCCTAGCACTGGCATGCCTACGGCACGTGCCAAACGTAGGCCTACGGTTGTCAAATTTGGCATGTGCGTGCATGTATGTATGCATGTATAAATGCATGTACGTGTGTTTGTGTGTGTGTGTGTTGAAAGATTATGGGGAATTACAAGGTACATGACGTACTAAAGTCGGCTGAGAGAGCCCAGACAATACTTCGTTGTTACCGGTAGCTTACAATGAAACAATGATCAAAGGTATAGCCTACATTGTGTTGCGCATGGGCCCTCTCGGAGCCGACACTACAGTATCATACTGTTAACACACTGTCTTCTTCCATATGTACACATAGGCACAGCTGACAGGTTTTACCATTTATCATTTCAGACTGTATTCCCACTGGAGTTGGAGAAAGACTTGGTTGATTACGTTCTACACCTTGAGACTCTTATGTATGGTCTGACGACAAATGACGTACGCAATCTGGCCTATCAACTAGCCGTTAGAAATGGACTGCCAAATTCGTTTAACAAAGACAAGGAAAAGGCTGGGAAGGATTGGCTCCTGAGCTTCATGAAGCGACACCCTGAAGTGACACTGAGACAACCTGAAGCTACATCTGCCGCCAGAGCCATGTCCTTCAACCCAGTGAATGTGGGTAAATTCTTTGATATTCACGAGTCATTAATGGACAAACACAATTTTCCTCCTCATCGCATCTACAACTGTGATGAAACAGGCGTGACAACTGTTCAGGGCAAACCCTCCAAAGTACTTGCAAAGACTGGTCGGCGACAAGTTGGAGGCTTAGTGTCCGCTGAACGTGGACAGCTTGTTACAGTTGAACTATGCATGAACGTTACAGGAACATTTATCCCCCCACTCTTCATATTCCCGCGTGTCCGAATGAAAAATGAGCTTATGAATGGTGCCCCTCCAGGATCCATATACGCATGTCACAAGAGTGGTTGGATGCAGCTCAACATATTCGTAGACTGGTTCAAGCATTTCATTCAGGTAACAGGAGCAAGTAAGGACAATCCAGTCTTGTTGATCTTGGATGGTCATGCTACACATACGAAAAATCTTGATGTCATTGATCTTGCAAGAGAGAAAGGTGTTGTGCTTCTCTGTCTACCACCGCACTGCTCCCATAAAATGCAGCCATTAGATGTTAGTTTCATGAAACCATTGATGACATACTACGACCAGGAGTTGGAAAAGTGGCTGCGCAATCATCCAGGCAAAGTAGTGACAACATTCCAGACTGCTGAACTATTTGGCAATTCATATACAAGGGCAGCAACTGCACAAACTGCTATGAATGGGTTCCGGAAGACAGGGATATACCCGTGTAATAGAGATGTCTTTCAGCCATATGAGTTCGCTGCTTGTGAGCCAACTGACATTGGTAACCCAGATCAACCTGCCACTCAGCCAGATCATGCAGATGTTACCGGTGAACCTGCCGCTCAGCCAGATGTTACAGCTCAACCTCCCGCTCAGCCAGATGTTACAGCTCAACCTGCCGCTCAGCCAGATGTTACAGCTCAACCTGTTACTCAGCCAGATGTTACAGCTCAACCTGCCGCTCAGCCAGATGTTACAGCTCAACCTGTTACTCAGCCAGATGTTACAGCTCAACCTGCCACTCAGCCAGATGTTACAGCTCAACCTGCCACTCAGCCAGATGTTACAGCTCAACCTGCCACTCAGCCAGATGTTACAGCTCAACCTGCCGCTCAGTCAGATGTTACAGCTCAACCTGCCGCTCAGCCAGATGTTACAGCTCAAGCTGAACCCTCCACTTCGAGCAATTACATTTCTCCGTATTTGATTTCTCCCCCACCCAAGGTGACACAAAGATCAAACAAAAGACCAAATGCACGTCGTGGTAAGACTGTTATTTTGACGAGCAGCCCATACAAAGCAAGCCTCGTGGAAGCTAAACGATCTAAAGCCGAGAAGGAGATGGCAGTTCAAGAGAGGAAGGCTAAACGAGAAGCATCCAGACTTCAGGCCAAGGAAACAAAGGCTAAAAAACGTCGCATTACCAAGTCTCAACCAGATGCCAAGCGTCCTCAGGTGCATCCACCCAAGACAGATGGTCGTGACATGGATGTAGATGATGAAGAGGATGCCCAATGCCTCTACTGTGGGGAAATGTGGAGCAAAACTACACAAGACGCAATGATTCAGTGTACTGTATGTCTACAATGGGCCCATACCAAGTGTGCTGGGACGGACGAAGACACTGATGACTTTATTTGTGATTTCTGTGCTTAGTGATTGCATGTAGGCCTAAATCATAAATTTTCTAGTTCAAAGTTTTATGCATCTGTTGTAATTGATGCTGAACAATCTTCCTGCCCATGCAGATTGCATGTAAATCATTAATTTTCCAGTTCAAATCTTTATTAAATTAGTTGAAATTCATGTTACACAAAGACTTCCCTCTTGGTTTGTTTGTTAAATGCAATTTTCACATCAAAAATGTGAGTACTCACACAGGAGAGAAGCCACATGTGTGCGATATCTGTGGGTACATGAGCTCTCAACTAGGTACTCTCCATACACACATGCGTACTCATACAGGAGAGAAGCCATATGCGTGCAATATGTGTAAATACAGATGTACTGCCTCTAGTAGTCTCAAGCAACACATGCGCACTCATACAGGAGAGAAGCCATATGTGTGCGATATCTGTGGGTACATGAGCTCTCAACTAAGTGCTCTCCGTACACATATGCGTACTCATACAGGAGAGAAACAGTAAGCATGTAATGCATATATGCATACAGGTGCAGTTTCTCCAGTAGTCTCAATAAACATATGCGCATTCACACAGGAGCAAAGCCCTATGTTTGCAATACATGTGAATTCAGGTGCACTGCATCTACTGGTCTCCAAGGACACATACACACTCACACGTGTGAAGGACGGGACAGAGAGGCTCTTTGCGTGTACAGATGAGAAATGTCTAGACGGGCACAGCTTCAATGACCAGGCTGATGCAGTTGCTGCAACAACCACATGGATTCAGAGGCGGACGCTGTAGGCGGATGTAGGGGGAGAGAGGGATTCTGGGGGCGTCTCCCCCAACAAAAGTTAAACAATTTGAATGTCTTAGACTGCATTTGAACATTTTCACAACGGCGATGTTAAATTTGACAACGGCGGTGCGTCACTGTGCCTCATATGTATAGGAAACCCTGATGTATTGATATTTTGTGAACTTTGGATGTGTCATGTATTTTCCTCGACCATACCTGGATTTTATTGTATCAGCATTACATAATTTATCCGAAATGTACTGACATTATGCAGCAGCCAGTTGTTGTAGAGTTGTTGTAGTTGATAGATCATATATCTATATTATTAGGAGTAAAATTAAAAAATGTTGTTAATGTTTTTATTCACTGCTTATGTTGTGTCACTATTGATGGCATCTTGGTTTAGTTTTCTATCATATCATGCAATGGCTTATATAATAATACATGTAATTTATAAATTGTAAATTTATAAAATTATATAATTATATTAAAGTTTATTCCATTACAGGGGGCATATAACATCAAGCCTCTGCAAATTGTCTCCCAAATTGCACTATTTAGTCTTTTAGGATTTTTTTTGCGGTGAAATTTTACACTAGAGTGTACTAATTTGTATTATGCAAGCAAGTTTGATGCTTCGTGGACGTCTAGAAGGCATTAGGAGTAAGATTGGTCTTGTCGTGTAATTGTGCCATTCCAGCAAGTGGCGTAGCCATCATGCCATGGTGATCGGTAGGCCATTTTTGTGTTTGAAACGGGATCCGACTAGTGTGTAGAAATACGCGTCATAGAGCTGGCAAAAGTTTCGAGCGGAGCATAGGGCATGTATCTGTAGTTATTTACCATGAATAAAGTGTATATTATGTCTGCGACGAAACAGTGTGAGTATTTTTAATTAATTTCTGTTCGATGCTCATACAGGCCTGCTGCCTATGGACGCCTTCTACTGTTGCACAACACCTACACGCAGTTTAGAGGATATGTGGGTGGGGAGGCAAGAGGTAGAAAAGGTCGAGGATGTGAAGAATTAGGAGGAAGTATGTGAGAGATGGGGGAGATGAGAGCTAGATGGAGAGGAATGGGTGCATATAGGAGTGTGAAGAAGAAGGGAAGGCTGAATGTAGAAGAAGGTGATGGGCAGGAATGAGGAGGAGATCTGGCAGGAAGCTACGGCGGAGGTGGGAGAGGGAGTGATAAGATGGATGAAGATGCGAAGTGAGAGTCATGGAAAGTGGAGGAGATGTATAGCTGGACGTTGTGGAGAAAGAAGTTTTATAAGGGTAGGGACGGTCGGCGGAAAGCAAGAAAATGGGGTGAAGAAAGTCGGGGAGGGAGGTGGAGGAGGGCGAGGAATGAGCTGAGAAAGTGGAAGCAGAGAAAAGAAGTTGGGGATAGTGAAAAAGCGTGCAAACTCCAAAAAGTGGAGTTCTTTCAGTTTAAAAAGTGGGGGGGACAGACGTGGTTCAAGAGTGTGCGAGAGAGTGAAGCGACCGAGGTGGGAGGGCGTCTCCCTCTCTCACGGTAAGAACTTTTCGTATTTTTGATCTCTAAAAGGCTCATTTTCGCGCATTTAAGTAGCAACTATTGTTTCTATCGTGTTTACATACCATAAACTAGCTCCCAGCGGGCAAAAGCCGTTGAAGCAACGTTGAAAAAATGGATTTGCAATTTTATTCAACGTTACTATCTAAATATTATATTTTATCGGCGGGTTACTAAGGGGAAGTGACGTCACTCCGCCCCCAACTATACGGTCGCGGTTCCTATATTCAGTTTAGTCTATTGTATCAAGAGCGCATTAACAAGGCGCTTCTTAATACGCTATTGATTATATATATATATACTACATATCTTGATATATATATATATCAATCAGGAGTCTTTTTTTATACTTTCTATTTTTTCACTTAGTGTAGTGGATACAAGCACAAAATAATAATATTATAGAAGGCGCTTATAATTATGCAGAACCACATGCATGTTCAAAAACCTGGGGGTGGGGACATTTTATAGCGTGTCAACTCTTCAAAAATTGGGGGGGGGGCGTGTCCCGCGTTTCCCCGTGGCATTTGAGCCCATGGCAGTATGGACTACAGAACACTGCATAATATAGCTTGCTATGAGAGAAGGAGGGTTGGAAGACTGAGGAAAGGTGGCAGGGAAGAAAGCTGAGGGCGGTAAAAAAGAATGAGGCTGAGCGAGAGACAGAGGGTGAGGCAAGGGAAGGACAGGAGGGGGTGAATTAGTAGTTTTGCTTCCCACAGGCTAGGGCGCTCTCCCAATCATGAACACAGGTCTACTGATAACAATTTATTTCATAAATCTATGCTGAGATATCCCCTAACCATTTTAAATGCATATCCATCACAAAATATAACTCCTCTGGTAAGATATTGCGCATGCGATAACACACTAACGTAGCCAAATTGTGTACTGACTGGTATATGCAGCGGGCACCTTACATGCGAGGTCTTCTTCCTATTTCTCAAGAGAGGTATAGTTGTAAAATATTTACATATAAATCTATGCTAGAATACTTCCTCCCTATTCTAAATGCATAATTTTTGCAAAATATTATTCTTCTTGGGAGATATTGCGCATGCGCGAGCACCGTTTCAGGCGTGCAGTATGGACTGCAGAACACTGCATAATATAGCTTGCTATGAGAGAAGGAGGGTTGGAAGACTGAGAAAAGGTGGCAGGGAAGAAATCTTAGAGCGGTAAAAAAGAATGAGGCTCAGCGAGAGACAGAGGGTGAGGCAAGGGAAGGACAGGAGGGGATGAATGAGTAGTTTTGCTTCCCACAGGCTGGGGCGCTCTTCGAATCATAAACACAGCTCTACTGATAACAATTTATATCATAAATCTATGCTGAGATATCCCCTAACCATTTTAAATGCATATCCGTCACAAAATATAACTCCTCTGGTGAGATATTGCGCATGCGCTAACACACTAACGTAGCCAAATTGTGTACTGACTGGTGTATGCAGCCGGCACCTTACATGCGAGGTCTTTTTCCTTTTTCTCAAGAGAGGTATAGTTGTGAAATATTTACATAGAAATCTATGCTAGAATACTTCCTCCCTATTCTAAATGCATAATTTTTGCAAAATATTATTTTTCTTGGGAGAGATTGCGCATGCACGATCATCGTTTCGGACGTGCAGTATGGACTGAAGAACACTGCATAATATAACTTGCTAAGAGAGAAAGAGGGTTGGAAGGCTGAGGAAATGCGACAAGAAAGAAAGCTGAGGGCGGTAAAAAAGAATGAGGCTGAGCGAGGGACAGAGGGGGAGGCAAGGAAAGGACAGGAGGGGATGAATGAGTAGTTTTGCTTCCCACAGGCTGGGGCGCTCTCCCAATCATAAACACAGGTCTACTGATAACAATTTATTTCATAAATCTATGCTGAGATATCCAATAACTATTTTAAATGCATATCCATCACAAAATATAACTCCTCTGGTGAGATATTGCGCATGCACTAACACACTAACGTAGTCAAATTGTGTACTGACTGGTATATATGCAGCGGGCACCTTGCATGCGAGGTCTTCTTCCTATTTCTCAAGAGAAGTATAGCTGTAAAATATTATCATATAAATCTATGCTAGAATACCTCCTCCCTATTCTAAATGCATAATTTTTTTTAAATTTTTCTTCTTCTTGGGAGATATTGCGCATGCGCGAGCACCGTTTCAGGCGTGCAGTATGGACTGCAGAACACTGCATAATATAGCTTGCTATGAGAGAAGCAGGATTGGGAGACTGAGGAAAGGTGACAGGGAAGAAAGCTGAGGGCGGTAAACAAGAATGAGGCTGAGCGAGAGACAGAGGGTGAGGCAAGGGAAGGACAGGAGCGGTTGAATTAGTAGTTTTGCTTCCCACAGGCTGGGGCGCTCTCCCAATCATAAACACAGGTCTACTGATAACAATGTATTTCATAAATCTATGCTGAGATATCCCCTAACCATTTTAAATGCATATCCATCACAAAATATAACTCCTCTAGTGAGATATTGCGCATGCACTAACACACTAACGTAGCCAAATTGTGTCCTGACTGGTAGATATGCAGCGGGCACCTTACATGCGAGGTCTTCTTCCTATTTCTTATCAGAAGTATAGCTGTAAAATATTATTATATAAATCTATGCTAGAATACCTCCTCCCTATTCTAAATGCATAATTTTTTTTTAATTCTTCTTCTTCTTGGGAGATATTGCGCATGCGCGAGCACCGTTTCAGGCGTGCAGTATGGACGGCAGAACACTGCATAATATAGCTTGCTATAAGAGAAGCAGATTTGGGACACTGAGGAAAGGTGACAGAGAAGAAAGCTGAGGGCGGTAACAAAGAATGAGGCAGAGCGAG